ATCTTTCTATGAGTAGAATATGAATGTTTTGACATAATGACTAAGAAAGTTACATGAAGGCTATGTTAACCAGTTTGATGGAAGTGTCTTGGATTGTGTATGAAAACACCACACTGTACCCCCAAAATGCATCAATGTACACAGTTACCATTCAATAAAAAAAAAATAAAAAAATAAAAAAAAAAGAAAGCTATCATAGGGTTCAAAAATTTTACTCTATTTTTCTCCTACTCAGCTCTAAGTTTCTGATAAGAAATATCATACTGCAGCATTTTGATTGCATAATATATTGCTAACTTGCTTCAAGTGGCATAAAAATCATGATAACTTAAATGAGTGATCATAAATATTATTGAATGATTTATTATATCAAGCAATTCAGTTTTGATTAATTTCCCTTGATCCTTTTTTTACCTCTTTCTGTGGCTCAGGTGATGGAATCATGGAATGATATTACATTTGGAAAGAGCATCTATTTCTGTGCCCCTAATTTATTTTCTTTTTTCAGAAGAAAACCCTGAAGCCTGAGGGGTGGTGTGACACGTTTACTTGTCTTCACTGTCTCTGGATGATAATTTATTCAGAATGTTGGTTCACCAGGGACTAGTCCTTGACAGTTTAATAAGAGATAAATAAATGAGGAAACAGTTACATTAGAGAAGGTTGAATTCTGGGATTCTTAAAAGTTTTTAATGCCACTGATTCCTACTGTAGTCTGAAAAAGCTTATTGACGTCATCAAAATAATGTTGTAAAAGGCATACAATAAATACATAGGATTCAAAGGAAAGTAAAGGCTTCATCTGTGGACTCTAGGTTAGGATCTTCTGGGAGGTGATCTGTAAGGTTCCTTCTATTTCTGAGACTTTGTGCCTCCATTATTCAGTATCAACCACAGTCCTTAGAGCACCGTCTTGTGGACAGCTCCCCCCTCCACACATTCTTTTTGACTTCAGGTGTACAGGGTTTTTTTTTTTTTTTTTTTTTTGATGAAATCTTCAGATGATTCCTGTGCATTTTAGATCCCGAAAATGACTAACATCAGGATCAGGTGAGACCAGGGAGCACGTTGGTCCCCAGAGGTTGACCCTACCATGTTACTGTATACATTCCATTGTGGTTCCATGCTCCAGCCCAAGGCCCTCGTAGCTGTCAACCTCTGCCAGCATCTCTTTGCTGGGTGAGGACAACTCATCTTAGTTTAAGTAATTGGAACTGTTGTTGCATTCTGAACCTTTAATACCGCTGGCCTGACTTAATGTCATTATTACTCAGATTTCCCTTGGCTGTGTGAGCAGAAAAATGAAATAGAAGCACTCAAAGTGTATTTCCATTGGAAGGGTGGATCTCATTTAGACCATGTTATATGACTGTAATATGATCTTAAAGACATATTTAGACCTTTCTTCCACAGACAAATTTTCATGTTCTTATTTCCCTCATATTTATCATTTATTGTTAGAATTAGATATAATTTGAAGATTGCCTTTTTTTTTTTTTTAACTGTTCCACCCCTCCATTATTTTTTCACTATAGTAAGTCCTCACTGCCTAAAATAGAAGGTATGGTGTGGTCTGTCACCCACCCCGCCTGTGAGTGTGTGTGCTGCTGGCTCCTGCCCCCAGCGGTGCTCTCTGTGCCTGTGTTACTGCCCCTTTGTTGCTTTTTCTCTTTCTCATGGATCTTCATTATCAGAAAATGTTAAGAGGGCCTAGCCCACTTCTAATGATAGGATTTCTCCCTAAACTTGCTTACAAAAACTTGATGTGTTTTAATATTTATACTTAATCACATTATTAGTGCAAACCCCAATTCCAGTGTATGTGTAAACTTGTTTGGAAGACAAGTTTGGAAGTTTGGAAGACAAGTGTGTATGTGTATAAATGGGTGTATATGTTGTTCACGTCTTCACAAAGTCATTGAAATATGGGATAACTTAAAAAAATTTTTTTTGAAGTGTATGCTACTTTGATTTTAAGGATTTGGTTGGCTTCCCTGCATTTATGTTTATTGAATAAAACCACTAGATGCTAGGAATACAGTTATGAATCTCTGTCAGTAGCTTAGAAGAGGGAGAAAGAAAAATAACCCCCCAAATTATATTGTGTGATAATTGCCATGAAGGAAACTATATTTTGCTTGTTTGTTAAAGCAGATGGGATTTGATTTATTTGCAAACCAATAAAGAAGTTTAACATATTGGAGAAGAAATGAACTCAAGAAAGGAATCTCAACTGGGAGTATGTATAAAAATGAAAGTTTAGGATATAGAAGAGGTTATATGAAAGCAGCCAGTTGAGATTGAGGAGAAGGGTAAGAGCAAATTGTTGCTAAATCGGACATATTAACTGGTGAACTGATATATTTTATTTATTGAAAAAATCAGTGACAAGATAACTATGTATATGTCTCAATGTCAAAAAGTTTCTTTGGTTTTATTTTTAAGAGGAGGAGGAGGAGGAGCCTATTTCTGCTGGTGAGTTGAGAATAGCATATTTAGGTAGAGGCCTGGGGAGTGAACCTAACGTGACCCATATTTCTGGGAAGTAAACTTCATCTGTCATAAGTCTCGTCAAAGTGCTGTAGAAACATTACAGGGATATTGATGATATTCACTGAGACAACTCCAAGCACACAGGTGGTGGTTCTGTGTATATTTGAAATTGTAAAGGTAGTTGAGGAATTAATGGTTAGTAAAATAAGCAAGGTATTTGGCTGTGTTCATCATTGATTTTTTTCTTAGTTAACATTTGGTAATTGAATCTTATGGCTCTCAAAGATATTAGATACGATATTATTTTAATACATTTCTGTTTTTAAGAAGGAAAATCTGAAATTGTTTAATGTGTAATTTTGGGAAGAAACTTCTTATCCTGGTTTTAGATTGCTCTCAGGGAATATCACCATCTAACAGCTGTTCTATCTGGTGGCAGGTAACAGTTCCTACAGGACTCTGTAAAGTGAAGACCCCATAAAATTGGTCCAATAGGTTTCACCTACTCAATTGCCAAAAAACTATCAGTGTGTGACATCTAGAACACTTAATTATAATTTATGTACCCACCTTCTGTGCTATTTCATCACACTATAATCTTTAAAATAAAAATAGACTCTTTCTACTAATGAATTTTTTGGTATAATCTTTTGTGGATTTTCTGATGACTGGCTTAAGTTCAGAACTCCAAGAATGAAGCCGAAAAATCCCTAAGATCAAATAGGAACTTTTATTTCTTTCTTCTTACTTTTCATTTCTTTTTTTTTAGTTTTTGAACAACAGGGTTGAAATAGATGCTCTCTGTAAGTGCTTCCAAACCTACAACGTTAAGTTTGCGTTGCTAGAAGCGCTTAGACGCTGAGCCTTAGCAGAGCCTGAAGCAGTGCCTCCTTCTGCCTCTCTCTACAGCACTTGTCCTATGGCAATGGCAGCTTACACGTGGACGCCGCCTTCCAGCAGACTCTCTGGAGCGTGGCCCCAATCAGCTCAGGAAGTGAAGCAGCCCAAGGTAAAAACTCCACTTCCGTCAGAGGGCTTGTCCTTGATGCAGACTGGACAATCTTCTTTGGAATTGTGATGATGAGCTGATTGTTATTATAGCTTTTATCAGGTCAGGATATTTTGCAAGGGAGATTCATGGTGTTTAAGAATCTGGCTTAAGTCACTATCGAGAAGTGAAACTTGTGTTAAGATTTATCTTTTTCCACGGATCCCCCCCTGGATGGAGGGCGGGCGATTGAAGGGATCACCTCTATGGTTTATCTCACAAGGGTACAGGTGAATCTTTCTAAGAGTAGAATATAAACGTCTTAACACAATAACTAAGAAAATGACATGAAGGCTAAGTTAACCAGTTGGATGAAAATATTTCAAATTGTATATGAAAACACCACACTGTACCCATTATTGCATTAATGTACACAGCTATGATTTAATAATAAAAAAGCTTTAAAAAAGGAAATAAAAGGTAAAATATAAGTAAAAAAAAGATTTATCTTTCTTACTACTATTAGGCTGTTGTCTGATGTCGCTTATTTGTGCCAGCTTTCTAGGTGTTGTTTCCTCTGATTTTTTTGGCCAGAGAGTATTGCTCAGTCAGGTGAATGTAGATATTTCTCATTTTCTGGGGTCGTGTCTGGATTACCCTATTCAGAAGGGTTTTTCAGCATAAGTATCTGGGTATTTTCTGGTTATTCTCACTTACATAGTTCAAATCTGATCCAAATCTGATCCCTTAAATATTCATATGTTTAATGAAGGATTTTATGAGGTTATATACTGTAGTGGGGATACCTTTAACTAGGGGACCCAAGAGCCTGGGGCTCAGAGGGGCCGCAGGCACCGTCCACCTCTGTGACCTTGGCAGTGTACTTATGCCTCATTAGACTTGGGTTACTCTGTAGAACTTTAGACCAGGTGATCTGCCTGGCTGCCAGCATTTCTCAGTGAAGTCCAAACATGAATGATTCTTTAATCCTTGCAGGGTATCTGATCGGTGGGGATGTCCTCAGGTTGCTGCACGGGCACATGGATGAATGTCTCACCGTCCCTTCAGGAGAACACGGTGAAGAGCAGCGGAGGTTGGTGCCTCAGTCCAGCCTGTTGACACTTGCTTGTTGTTATTTATTTTTTTTTTAAGTTAAACAGATATCTTTTCAGGTTATTAGCATAATATAACATGGGCCACTGATGTTTTTTCTCATGTTATATTTTTAATCACCTATCAGTTCAGAAGAGCTGAACGTTTTTGTGTGATTAAAGCACATTAAGAAGCATTGAAAAAAAATAAATGAAGCGGGAGGCGTGAACGCATTACATTAAACTGCTTAAGACTTCATTAAATATTCATTCGGTTTTGATTAATTTTCTTCCTGGAACGTTTAATATCAAATTCAGTTCCATGGTCAGAGTTCTCAAATTGTGCAACACTTCAGGACCTTCTTCTGTCCCCTCTCATATATTAACATAGAAAATACAGTTGACCATTCTCCTTATGTTTTATACGATATACCTCTCAATGGAATTTATCTGGCATCGGGACAGGATTAAAGTTGTCTAGATCCACTGGGAAAAGGACACAAATATTATAAAACCATAAAAATATTTAGAAAGATGCGATTGTTGTTGTTTTGCCTCATGAATTAATGAGTATAGAAATTGAATGCATAAATAAGAGATTACAGTGAGAGAAGGCATTGTCTGGATGGTAAGATATATATCTTGAAATTTTTAGTGGGCATTTCTCATAATATTGACATGGACAGCTAGGTAACTATTTAATACATATTATCATAATTTAATAAAAAGACATAGGGAGCATTTAGAAAATGAATGATCATTTAACTAGCTATATAACCCAGGAAAAGTCCCTCTGAGCCCCAGGCTCTGGGTCTGTTACCAGGCAGACCTGTAATGCGGTAAGTGCAGAGTAGCAGATTTATGCTGGAAACACTCCCTAAGCTACAAATGCTGCTTTTAGTAGTTAGGAAGAAGCTGTTGATGGTGTTCATAAGGGTAGTTGGCTCAAAGAACTAGTTTCAAACAGAAGGGTGAACATAAGAGCCAGAGGGATGACAGCATATTCCGGGAATAGCAGTTATTCCTGGGTGATGAGGAGCGAGATGGAGGAAGAGACGGTAATTTGTCCAGCTTTTGAAGGGTCCTTGTCCTCAGCGCCATCCTGCAGGCTGGCTTTTCCACTGAGGTGGTTTGGAAGGGATGGGGGATGCAGGTGGCATGTGCAGACGTCCTTTAGAAGAATAACTCTGATAGGTAAGAGGCATTTCCATTAGAGGTGGGGAGGGCCTGAGTCAGGAAAACCAACTGTAGTAATTCACGTGACAAAAGATAAGGCCCTCACCCCAGAAAGTACCATCCGGATGGCTAGGATGACTGGAACCAGAAACATGCAAGGTGAAATTCGAGAGTTTAGGCGCAAACTGGATGTGATCTGGAAGAGAATGTATCAAATCCAGGGCAGTCTGGTGCTTCTGACGGGGGTGGGTGGGGATGGCTGGTGCTAAGGATGGCAGGAGGCGGTGAGTGTCTGGTATTAAAGATGGAGTTAAGGGGTGGCACCTGTGGCTCAAGAGAGTAGGGTGCCAGTCCCATGTACTGGAGGTGGCGGGTTCAAACTGGCCCAAAACTACAAAGATGGAGTTAAACTTGGGTTCGGATGAGTCCAGAGGTTCTGTGGAGCAAGCAGGAAATTGGGATTTCTACGTCTTTAACTTTCAAAAAAGCTTGGGTTGATTATAAATTACAAGTGCAGGGATTAAGGATTAAGGAATGGGGGCCCATCATGTTCACTCAGATGGAGAGAGAGGAACTGCGATCAGAGGGATGTGTTTTATCAATTTGGGCATTACTTTAAAAAGGCTGTGGAGCCCTGCAGTAGACTAGCCAGACAGCTGAGAGTGGATTGCTACAGGACACTGATATTTAGCATGAGAGGTGAGGATGTAGAGTCAGATGCTAGTTCAGTGGGGAAACAAATAGGTTAGTGATGGAAGCCAAAGGTTTGGGGTATGGATGTGTTGAATGCTATGATATAGTCATATGGTGTTAGGGGTTGTAAGAGACCAGGCCAGAGTCTCTGGGGTCTTCAGTTCCTGATTTGTTAAATGGAATACATAGGCCACATGATTCCAGAGCTCTTTGAGCTCTTCCTACAGATATGGTAGGGATTTATAATTAGGAGACTCCAGAATGAGACAGACCTGGGTCTGGGACTCTGCTCCGCCACTTATTAGTTGTGTAACTCATTCTGGTGACCTAATTTCTTTAAGTATGGGTTTTCCCTTCTGACGGATGCAGCTTAAATATTATCTCCTATGTCACAAGGCCGTTATAAAGACTAAAGAAAATGCATGTAAAATACTTGATACATATTAAGAGACCAATGTATTTATTTAGTATTGCTGTCATTATTATTTAGCCAGATAGGAAAGAGAAGTTTAAGGAACCCCGGGCATGTGGAGGACAGTATGGTAGAGTGTAAACTTTGCAGGAGAAAGGCAAAACCAGATCAAAGAAGATCCTTTAGAGCAGTGGTTCTCAACCTTCCTAATGCCGCAGTCCTTTAATACAGTTCCTGTGGGTTGTGACCCACAGGTTGAGAACCGCTGCTTTAGTGAGCTGGTCATTATTGCTGAGAAAACCAGGGGAAATTTCAAAGCTATCTGGATATCATTCTGGACCCACTTCTTTACTCTGTGTGTGTTGGAGCCTGCCCGTCTATCCAAGTTCTATTCTTGATTTAATGTTGATAATTTCTGTATCAGTTTAATCCCAGTATGTATTCAGATCACTACATCAGGACCTTTTCTGGGTAACGATGGCAGTAAGAACCCATCTGTTTGTGTTTTTATAGCCAGTTTACACAGACAAAATGAGATTAAAATGGATGTCAGATCTTTACTTGAGGGAGATAATGAGTCAGAGATATAAAGCATTGAGGCTTGGGGTGTTGCTTAAGAAAGAGGGGTTATGTTTGTTTTAATTATAGTGGGATTAGCAGTTATTTGCATACAATGATAAAAATAATTTCTTCATTTTGAAGTTCACAGAGCACTTTATTCTTTCAAATATTATGAGTATCATTGTGTTGAAATCCTTTCCACCTCCCTCTGTCCTCTCCCTAACTCACTGCTGGTGCCTTCGGGAGCCAGGGTATGCCAGCACAGCTCAGCTTGGGGGCAGAATGTCTTTATTTGGTATCAATCTACATTGGGGCAGAAAGGCATAATGATGACCGCCAATATTTTTATTTAGATTCATTAAAAAAGAAGTAAAACATACTTTGATTTTTGGACACTGATTTGAAAGCTGGCAAAATTCCAGGCAAATATGCAAAGTTTTCTGTGACCTCATAGTAATGAGTAATTTGCTGTAATTAGGATCTGGCTATCCTCGTTAATTATACGTGTATCTTGTTTTCAAAGTCAAATAACTGAAGTCAAATCTGCTTTGTTATAAGAAGTGGTAGAAATGATTAAGGACATGCCCAGAAGGGGACATTTACTTTTGAGTAATTGAGGAATATTTTGGTCATCAATGCTGTGTTCCTAAAAGGATTTGTCCATGCCTGGTAACATTAGCAGTTATTGAAAATAGATGACTATAATCGTAGCTATTGAAAATGCAGTTCCATGATGGATTCTGTAATTCTGCAGAGCAAAAGGGTTATCTTTAACTTCCTTTTCACAGACAGATAAGTTTGCGAATGTGGTGACCTACTCCCTCTCAAAAAGAATATTGATAAAACTCTCTGTTGAAGAACATATGGAGAGAGCTGTTTAATTACGTAAAGCTAAGTTGAAAAATGAAGCCTATCAAAGTTAAATTAAATACACATATTTTCTGATACATTTTACCCACATTACTTTGAGGTATTGAATTAGGACATTGAATATAGCATCACTATTGTTTTAAGTTGCTTGATACTTTTCCATGGAAGACACACAAGTCTCAAACGATTGGTCTACAGCCTAAGTAACAATATAAATAGCTAACATATAATCTGCAGTAGCTGTGAGCAGTCAGGCACAAGGCAGAGGTCTCCTGAGTCATAATCTTTTAGTTATTAAGTTCTTCAAATGGTGAGATGGATAAATTAAGGAGCTACAGGTTCTGGTAGTTGGCAAGGGATTTTTCAGGGGCACCATAGTGTTTTTATTGTTGCTTTAAGATAAACTTTCATCCTGGAAGCTTGAAAGTTGACTACCAAATTTTACTTCAAGCTTGAGTTATTTTACATGGAGAGTGTTTTTTGGTTTTAGATTTTCGTCTCTGGATGGCACCTCATTCATGTTTATAATTTTGAGTGAACATAAGAAAATATCAACAAAGGCATTTACTTAATATACATGCGCACTATTTTTGCACTAAATCTGTGCTATGTGAATTAAGTATGTCACACTTTCACATTAATGAATTTTAAAATAGATAAGTTAGGAGAATATCATTTGAGATTTCTGATTTGAAAACCAATATCAAGGGAACATTGTTTGCAGGTTTTTTTTTTGGCCAGGGCTGGGTTTGAACCTGCCACCTCTCGCATATGGGGCTGTCACCCTACTCCTTTGAGGGGCCGTAGCCCTACTCCTTTGAGCCACAGGTGCCGCCCAAGGGAGCATTGTTTGAAAGGCATTATTCATATGTTAAAAACAGGTTTGCTACATCACAAGTAGTTTTATTCATTCAATAAAAAATTGTGGGAAGACCATTATATTCTGGGTGCCAGGCTTTAGTAGTGTATAAAAAGGAAATGACATCTCTTTGCTCGAGGGTTTACATTTTAGTGGGGATGTGTGACAATGAAACCATAACCATTTTATTTATAAATGCACACACGTACTCATATATGCTGGGATGAAATGCATTAGGTGATGATGGAGAAAAACAAAGGAAGGAGAATGGAGGGCGTTGGTGTGTTTTACATTGTGTGTGAGAGAGAGCGTGAGGAGGAGGAGGAGAGGGGAGGTTGGGGAGGAAGAAGGAGGTTCTTCTTCCCTCACGTCAGCAGACGTGACTCTTGGCACAGATTTCTCTTGTTATCTTCAAATACAGGGCAATTCAG